TTCAAGAGCTATCATTTGACTCCCAAACGCAAACTGTAGCTTAAAGCAGCGCGGAGAATGGAACGTTCAAAGTTAGACTACGCGATTGTACGCCTGTCATTATGGCGTTCTATTAGAGTATTTACGGTATTTTAACATTTGTAACTACCCAATTGAACTATTCACCCAGATATTCGGTTGGTGGAAAAGTCCTTTCGGATTTTTTGGGAGAGTACCTTAAATTTGTCCAATTTTGACGTTTTATAGCTCATCCTAAAGCTGAATTCAAGACGGATCGATTGGTAAAAATCGTTTTGAGATATCTCTTTGAGATAATCCGAAAGGACTTTTCCACCAACCCAATAGATGCAATCAAAACATAGCTCAAGTTTTCCATTTGAAAAGTAGGCAAGAAAAGAACGAAAGTCCCAAATAACTCTTCCAAATAATCGCACTAAAGTGAGGTATAAAATTCACCAAAAATGAGTAATATCACCATTTTTACCCGACAAATGCACAAAGATTCTCGCTGAAAGCAAAAAAAAAAACTTTCAAACTCTTTTCAGCCAAACGCCGAATTGTTAAACGCGATCCGCGACGTTGTCAGCAAATTCAAGGCATCTTTGGATGAATCGGGATTGGATCAAGATGTGCGACAAATGGGAAGACAATTACAGAACACATGGCAACAATTGCGAGCAGGTAACCGACCAGGTAGAAGAAAAGAGAAAGCTATTGAATAGGGGAAGATTCCGATGGGGAAATTGTTGGGCTTGTTTCTAACTGTGCTTGTGCTTTAAAGATCGAAACGCATCCTTTCTAGAGCACTAAATTTACAACGATTTGATGTTGAAGAAAATGAAGAGAATTCACTGCACTAGAGGCGATGTGTTTACATTTTTGAGAGCACAAAGTACACCTTGGTTGCCGTATCCCAAAACAAAAGCTATTTTAAACCTGGTTAGGGGGATAATTTAGAGCTGGAGCTTTTTGGAGCTAGAGCTAGAGCCTTTTAGAGCTAGAGCTAGAGCCTTTTAGAGCTAGAGCTAGAGCCTTTTAGAGCTAGAGCTAGAGCTTTTTAGAGCTAGAGCTAGAGCTTTTTGGAGCTAAAGCTTTTTAGACCTCATTGAAAGTGATGACAAGCTAGCTAGCTAGCTATAGTTTCGATTAAGCCTGGGAATTTTCGGTGTGAACGCCAATAGGCGTGCAACGGTAAAATGGCATATCTCAGCCAATTTCACTCCGATTTTTTTGTTTCTGATATCAAGTGACGCCCAATTTCATTTTCTATCGATTATTTTAGATCATTTTCTATCGGTCTAGTTTAGATTACATAAAAGATCGGAATCTCTCCCTATAAAAGGCACCATCTATCACTATCGATCATAAAAAATGGGATCAAGCATGTCAAATGTGGGGAAATCTACAAAGCATGACCTAAAAGAGTGCCTAGGAGTCAAGAAAAACGAAAAAAAAAAACCAAACACCTCAATTATTCTATCTCTAATTTAGCGATAGAGCAAGCCGATTTACGGAGGGCTTCTGGTTAGTTGAAAAAGGGAAAACAACCAAAATCGGATCTTATTATTCGGGAATTGATTGGCGTTTTCTAAAAGGTGTCCTTTGGGAACAGCTACTGGACTTACTGAACTACTGAACAGCTACTGTTCTTTTTAAAGTCTAAAGTCTGGGTTACGGTAACTCTTTTGGGCCAGATTCTGGATTCTGCTAGCACAAGAGTCTAGATTACTGTAGCTTTTCTGGGTTACTTCCGGGTTACGGTAGCTTTTCTAAAATGCACCTTTTAGAAAAGCTTTCGTTGAGCGAAGCACAGTAACTTTGGGAATCATCCGGGGGAAAAGCATGTTTGGGCTTTATTCCACACAAGCATTACCGTATTCTAGACATGGACACTAAAAACTACAAACGTAAACTATAAACGCTTCTTAGCTTGCTTTAAATCTGCCGGATTGACTTGATCTATAGTTCAAAAGAATAGAGAATCTCAAGAGCTTTCGAATGGCCTTGAAGCACACCGAAAAATATTAATGCTAAAGAAAGTTATGCAAGTTCGATCGCTTCGACTACGCGCGAGTACGGTCCGTTTCGAGTCAAGACTATAAACCACTGTCACTTTCTTTAGCATTGATATTTTTCGGTGTGCTTTAGGCCATTCGAAAGCTCTTGAGATTCTCTATTTTTTGAGCCATAGATCAAATCAATCCAGCAGATTTAAAGCAAGTTAGAATCATTTTTATTGTGACAGTTCATCATTTTTGTATTTTATAGTGCCCAAGTCTATTCCCGCGATGAGCATGGGTCACTTTTTAACTTTCGGGGGAATGTCAGTATAGGTGATAATGAAAAACACTCGCCTATAGGATTGGATCGCAGCTGGAATGCGTTGAGACTTAGCGCCGAGCAATCGTTGCATTCACCGGCGTTACCGTATGGTCAAGGTGGGGCATTGTGAGAAGATCAGAATCTATGTAGCTATCACAGAAAATCCCAGATATTTCTACGATCAAACAAAACACTAATTATTACCGTAACCCGAGTGACTCTGGGTTTGGAAAGTAAGAAAGTACTTTAAAAAGCACCAGTTGTACTTTAAAAAGCACCAACATCAATTGTTGGAAGACTGTGTAGAATTGAGATCATCTAAAGAGAGGTAAATGCAGTCAAAAAAAAGTCTACAACACAACACCAACATTACCGTAATCCCAGACAACCTCAAACACATTTCATTTACAGGTCCAACATCGGTAAACGAGCAATTAACGCAAATGTTCGCTCGATCTCAATCTCAAGATGCTCCAAGGAAATAAAACCTCTTTCGACACCCTGATTTTGCTCAAATTAGACAAAGTCTAGTTTAAACAAGAGCTTTCCCCTCCCCAATCAATGTGTTGCTTACTGTGATTTCCCTTCTCTTTATGCATTCAATTCAAATTTCTTCTCACAAGAAATTATCAAGTGTAAGTACTATGTGCTTAGCATAAATAAATTTTTATCATTTATTCACAAAGACTAGAAAGTGTGAGGGGATATTGCTCAATCGGGTAATCACAGCAACAAATTTAGGGCACACAAAGATATCCGATGATTGGATAGATCCCGTATTGCAAACATTCTCAACATGAAAATTTGAGAGAATTATAAATACAAGGTGAAACGATGCTACAAGGATAGTGTAAGGCCACGTAAAAAATGCAGGACCAAAATCACCAAACCTCATTGTTTAGAGGTCGAAGAGACGAGGGTAGTCGAAGGCGGCAGTCCAGTAGTCACCTCCTCTGGGGCGACGCTTGACAACGGCGACTGTTTGTGGGGGTGGCAGAGGCTAAACAATTATTTCAGATTTTTAGAATACATTCACTAATTTCAAAAGATCTTTTTTGCCAAAACTATGCGAAACCTAACTAAATCCACAAAAACCTTTAGTTTCTAAACAGGCTCACTATTTGGTTTAAGCATAAAATTTCAAAATTACCCTGGGCATTTCGTAATAAGAACATTGGCAGTCTTGATATCCAGGGATGAGAACATCGAAGAACACAGAGGCTGGATCCATACAAACGATCTAAATAGAATGGCCCAATGGATTTTTAGATTTAAAAAATTACTTCATGAAGGTTTCCGTTGCCTGGCGACAGATAAATCGCATTGTCTTCTGGAGTCAAAATTCTGGAGCCTTCATAAAGAGCCTAAAAGAAATTGGGACATAATTGAAATTTGATTAACCTCTATTGTTCCATCGTCCTCGGGCGCAAGGTGAGTTTTCGTTGAAAATGAGTGGATCTGAAAGAAAAGAATAAATTACATTAGTTCCTGAGAACCCACCTCAATCTTTCCGTAGATGACTTTGATGAAACCGTGAATGAGCGGATGATCATGCAGTGGCACTTTGCAACCAATATTGGTAAGACCAAATGCACCGATTTGTAGATTTTCCGAGAAGTGGATCTAAGAAAATAGGTCACACTAGAGAAAACAAGTGATTAGCACCTCTGCAAAATGTGTCGGAGCACCAGTGTCCTGCCATTCTAAGCTGCTGGGCCTGTTCATCTAAAACAGAAAATAATTTCGAGGAAATCAATCTAGGCGGCAGTTTATCTAGCTCATGTAATAATTTACAAAAGAAAAGAAATTACCCGCAGATTCTTGTAGTTGACTTGGTTGACCAACTCCTCGATCTCGCGTTTGTAAGAGAAGATCGTCGACCGAGTGATACGTTGTTGAGCGAATTTGTTGCACATCTCTTGAATAGGGATCAGGAGAGCTCGGAGAGCCTGACGATCCATCTAAAGAGAAATCGTTAAAAAATGGTACGAGACAAAACGAAACATAAGAAGCGGAGAGCTGGGGAGGGGACCTCTGTCAAAACGTTTTTGGAAATGGCAAATGATTGTGAAAAATTAACCGCTTTGCTAGACAGATAACTTGAGCCAATGAGGGGGACACGGCATCAAATACGCGTTTTAGTTTTTAACTCTTTCCAGAGGTGGAAAATGGCAACAAAATGATTAATTTGGTGAAATGCCGCTTTTTTTTCTCTAACAAGCGTTCGTAAAACTTTTTATTGATGCTCAGAGAGGTCCCCAAAACAAAAAGAAACGATGGGCAAAAGAATATAAGGCAAGTGCGGAACGGAAACACAGGAAAGACACGACCTGATCAAAGAATAAAACTAAAAACACGATATCACAGTGATCACAGCTCAAAGTTTGTTTGAAAAGAAGGAGAAAGAGTAGAACTTCAAAAAATATAAAATTTGACAACATGGGCAATTTATTATACATATTAACATGGGCAACTCGTCGGTTTCAAATCTGAATCGGAATATTATGCACACCAAAGAAATATACCTGCAAACAATAGAAACACAAAGCACCTGCAAAAAAACACCAAAGATAACAGAGCAAGCGGGGAAAAGTCATGGAAAGACAAGCACACATAAAAAGAACAACAATTATAACACAGAAACAAGGAGAATTTCTAAAATCATCAAAAATTTTTTACACTAGGTACCCGAGTCGTTCATCGTAACCGACAAGAATGTCGGATTTTGGATCCGGATAATAGGTACTCCATAGTGAACCACTGCACTCCACAGGAGATGAGCATGAGGCAACGAGGCGATAGAACTTGGCCACCATTTGGAAAAAGTCTTCCTAAAGGTGAAAAACTTGCAAATGGCGAAACCTGGGTCCGACCAGAACCATTTTTCTGTAACATACCTTAACACTCGAGTCGAAAAGTGGGGAATCGAACTCGCCCAATCGCTCGACTACCATCAGTAATTGTAGCAGTCCAACTGGATACAAATTTAATAATGTCTATACGTTATAGCATACATTCCAGTTTGTTGTGACCTCAAGTTCTTGAGTGAAGGCAACACAAGTTCAGCAAATTGTTGTCCAAAAATCGAATCGTACGGTGGCAGTTTTTGGGTGGCCACAAGATGCCCCTAAACATTGATCACCTAATAAAAACGATTAGACACTTACCAGTTTGATCTTTCCATATGATCTGAATTGCAGGCGAAGTCTTATTCTCGGGAATACTTGTCGGCAAGTCACTCATTCGTTCCCATTGGAGAAGAATTGTTGGAGATCCAGTCTAAAAGCTTAAGAATGGCCAGGGAAATGGTTTTTCTAATACCTGATCAACATATCCGGTATAACCTCGGAAAATCTCTTCTTTGTGATCGATTGAAACTCCTATTCGTATGCTTCTCAAAATGTACCTAAAGAAATTTGTCTTTATTTCGATCAAAAAACCTCACCCATTAACAATTGGTTGTTCTTCAATCAGCGTATCATGTATCCGCTGAGCAAGAAGTTCAATCGTTTGCCCATGAGTCGTCTGAAAATTTATTCAAAAGAAAATAATGAAAATGTTTACCAAAACAGTGAAAACGAGTTGCCAGTTTGCTTCGAAATGTTCTCGATAAACATGAATGGAACGCAGTGAACCGAAGGATAATGAGCCCAATTTTGCCATCGAAAAAAGACGTTGCGTCAATAAAGTGTAAGATTCAGCTAAACACGTTTTTTCGAATTGGTCCAAAAAAGACTTACAATATCCATCAAAGCCAGCCTCGTAAAGGTTGACATGCGATGTGTTGAAGGCTTTCGAATTGGTGTTAAGCAAATGAGAGCGATCTCTGAAAATAGTAACAACTTACAACCACTCATATCTACTTTTATAGGTAGTTTAAAATCTCGTAACTCACCTCATCGCTTGTGCTTCAGCTGCAGCAATCGCATCCACGTCAATCAAGTTTTCAAATTTCCTAGCCAAATAGTAGACTTTCTCTTTGGCTTTCTAACAAATGGGTATTGGAAATTTAAGTACCATGAGCAAACCTCAAGTTCAAACTTATGAATTGTATCTTTTGTGAACACTAGCGGTGAACATCCGCACCAATCGACAACCTGACAAATTCACATTTACAAAGCCAAACTCTTAGCCAAACCTTTTTCAAAGACGCACATCGACATCCTTGTTTTCGATTCCAATTCGTTAATCGCAAATTCCCTGTCACCACATGATCGCAATACATTGAATTTGCAGCTAACTAAACTAAAATATTAGCATCAGCTGCAGAAAATTAACCGTGTGATAAAAACTTTCAACGGGAAGGATGATGCTTGAGAAGAGTGTTCGCAACTTTTGTGGCAACTCCTCGTTCGAAATGGAATATCTGAAAATTTTTCCTTATGCAAAATGTTAAACATCAAATGTAGCTACTTGGCGAAATCCTTGTGTAAAATGACCCAATCCGATCCACCGTCAATTCGCAAGCCACGCGGGAATTCGTTTCTAAAATGAGCTTTTAGGAATTGATGAAGCTTTGAACAACCTCTTGCCAACTCTCCACATTCTTTCTTCGCATTCAACAAAGACATAATCGAATCCTTGCTTTTGAATGAAGCGAGCCGTATTGTAGCCATGACTTGCCAAAAATGAACGTCCATTGTTCCTAAATCAATGTTCAAAATACTAATCTGTGCCAAACAATGTGAGCTGTGTTTCCAATTCGGCTAGCGACATCACCGGGAAATCCGACTCGGACAAGTTGACGAGGTAATCCCAAGAAGAAAAGTCTGAGAAAGACAATAGTTGGATTTATTGAAGTAACTTACTTGGAATGTTTATGGTCGTACGAATTGCATCAGTGATCATGTCAAGTAGTGAAGCTCCACCCCAAATTGTACTCCGACCTTCAGGTTCCACGTAGAGATTTGCTAGACGAGCAGCAAGATCTCGCATTTCTAAAAAAGTAATTGGTGGACGAAAGGACAATAAATTTTTGAATCTTTATCCAGATATCTTTTTAAAAACTTACTACTCAACATGTAGATTTGTCGTTTATCAACGTGAATGTAATAAAAGTGATTTGGCGAGTAGATTGATTTCAATAAACGTTGAACCTAAAGCAAGATGGTATCTAGAAACGAGTAAACCTCAAACCTGTCGAATATTTCGTCCATTCAATTGCAAGACAAATAAAATACGTGCTTTTGTCGGTTTTTCTTTTAGTCGTTCAACCTCCAAGTACAAGGGTCGCCTCGTTAGTTGAGCTGCTTTGACTAAAAATTATTTTGCATAAGAAAAACGCAGTAAAACTCACTAATTAAACCCGTTCTGTAGATATCAATAGCGTCAAACCCGCCACATTTTTGTGAATCATCTCCAGTGCAATTGTATTCTTTACATCTAAAAGCTAATTAATAGTCAGGCCAACTATTTTTCCACAAACTTAGACCGTTCAATAATATATTGAGCATCAAAATCATCTCCACAAAAGCACTCTTTCCCGTATTCGACTCCTAAAAAAGTATAAATTTCATATAAAGCTAAATAACAGTTACCGTAATACAAAAAACCAGCTCGATAGCAGTGACTTTCGCATTTGTCCCTGGTGTTGTCAGCAAAATCATATTGATGACCCTGAAAAATGACTAATTTCAACAAAATCCATTCTAAAATCGTACCTTTAGCTGTCGATTCGAGCTTTGATCATAGAAACATCCCATGCTCACACCAGCTAGGGATGTATCTAAAGTGAATAAATCACAAAAATAGACGCAATCCCGTACCATAATTATGACATCCACTCAGCGGCATCGTTTCATGAAATGAACCATTCTGAAGTCGACACGCCGCCTGTTCGATCTTTGCACGACATTGCTCAGTTTTTACCCAAAATTCAAATTTTGAATGGCATTCTTGAGAAAGTTTACCCTATTCAGAGCGCTTTTTGCTAGTTCATTGCTTCCATCGAGCACACATTGTAGTTGCTCATGCAGTTTCTAAAATATTGAGTGAACTAGTATCAAAATATCCTAAACAAACCTCATTCGCTCTCTCTTGTATCACCGATTGATCGCTTGGTTTCTCGATTTGCACATAGTAATAAATTATCGATACTAGAAATTGAATAAATGAGAAAAATAACAAGAAAACTTACAATTTATAAAGAAGAAGACAAGAGAGCCGAGAACGATTCGAAGAGTTTTTCCCATCGGTCCTCGTGTTTTCATTGCCCACCGGAGGAGAACCGGTGTGCCTAGCATGCCCTGTAATCAGAGAACGCTTAGTGAAAAGACGATCTTAATCGAAATGGAAAGGATTTCTAATTGTTGGGCTAGAAAAATAAACCTAACATAAAATGAAATGTTATTGGATGTCAAAGGTTGGTCAAAGAATCTACCTTTTATACTTGTTTTTGCAATAAAATTTTAATTTTATATCAAACACAATCGAAGTTGACCTTTTGAGGCCTGGCTTTGTTGAATTCTCGTGTATATTCAAGCCTAAACAAGCCAAAAAACTATTTTTCCAAAACACTTTGCGCGTATGCTTTGCTTATTTGATTTGATGGTTCTTTCCAAGCCATTATTATCGTGCTACCGTGCAGCTCGAAATGAAAAACAAAACATTCAACGACTTTCTTTGTTTCAAACCCTATAGAACCTTACCTTCCATATCATTGGTAAATCCATCAGAAAACTTTAGTATTGCTGTTAAAATAACAAATGATTTGTTAGAAAATTCTGTTGAAATTTTGAACCTCAAAAATCGTAGATGTTGAAGCAGCGAGAAGTCGGGAGAGGAATCCACACCGAAGAGGAGGCCATGCGGGTAGAAACAAAGAGTCGTTTGTGGATGGGGGAAAGGGGAGCCGAGAGGAAAGAACTCTATAAACTATCGCTTTTTTGCTTTCAACCAATCCAACAAAAAGAGATGGATGACTCGAAAATTAGCTCCTCGTAAACGCAGAAACAGATGTTGCGAGTAGGATGGTAAATGGCAAATTGAATAGTGAGACAGTCAATCTCTCACTTACAAGCCTGCCACAAGAGTGCAATTTTGCTTAGAGGTAGCTGTTGTTGCAACATTTCGCAAGAACGATACAGTTTTCGACAACAATTTATTAAAATCTAAAAAAAATACACATATTCAAAACATACTTAAACTTTATAAAAGACACGATAAAGTAAATGAGACCAAACGAGGCTCGGTTATGAGCAAAATTCAATAACACAGGGGTCTAGTCTTAAATGCTATTATTAGAAAATTAAATTATGAAACTTCTTCATTTAGCTAGAAATTATCTAAAACTAGTCCCCAAAATAAAAGCTTACAAAAATTAAGGCTTATATGGTGGCGGTGGGTCGGCGAATCCGTATGGTGGGGCGCTTGGCTCGGGAGAACTGGCATTCCGGGTCGATCTCGCTTGTCCTCGATGTCTTGTCGATGAAGTTGACGCATAGGATTGCTCGTCTGATGAAGACCACGATGTGATTCCTTGTCGCATCAACTAAATGAACATTTAGTTTATTTGTTACTTGGGTAATTAAACCAGCAACTCTAAACTTTTTCGTAAAATTTAACCTTGAATACTACAACGTTTCATATTATTGACACTATCAAAACAACAAAAGCCCTATTTACATCATAAAAATAAGCCCACCTCCATAAGAAGCGTCACCAAAAGCTCTCGATTTCCACTTCTTGTGACCCAACTCGTAAAATCATTGATCGATGTCCCTCCTACCGCTCCTTGAATCTAAATAATAATTTTTAGAAATAAAATCTTTAAATTACTAACCTTTTCAGTCACTTTTTTTTCGATCCTCGGCGGCCAAACTTTGGTAGAACGTGAACAAACTCTGAAACTTGATTGTAAAAAAAGATTGGATTTTAAAGGAACACTAAAACCGTTCGAAGATATAAAAACCCTATAAAAAGTTTTCTGGCTTAGAAAATTAGCTTTTTTTCTTTTTGCTCTTTTTTTTGTTAAAACAATACCTTTACTTGCTGAATAAAAACTAATTCCAAAAATAAAATTCACCGCATATTCTTCTGTTGTCAAATATCCATATAGGCCGCCGATGATTCCTCCAATGAGAGCTCCCGCCGGTCCGGCTAATAATCCACCGGCTGCTGTTCCTGCCGCCGCCGAAGCCGTTTGTCGAGCCACTCCACGCACCGTAGTCGAGAGACCCTGGAAACAAAAGTATTGCATTGAATTGACGTTAAACAGTGCATAAAATCATAAACGTTTGAAATCTTTTGCATGCATTCATTGATAAGAAGACTAAGCTAATCATTATATTTGTTCGTCTATTGAAAATCTGCTCCAGTTGCTTTTCTCCATAGTTTCACTAGTTTTGATTCGTAAAATCATAAATTTAGAATATCTAGCTGGGCACTGTCCTAATGGTACTATCTATGCCTACTAACTCTGAAAACAAATCAAAAGATAGCCTACCCCGTGTCCTTGTAGCGTTTCAAGGACGAAATTGAGGTAGTCGTGTTGAGTGGTCATCTGAAAAAAGAAATTAGAACACAAAATGGTAATTAAATAAGAAAAATATCGGAAGACTGTCTATTTGTGGGAATGAAAGGATCGAAACGGTGGCAAACAAGCAAAGAAAAGGTGATACGAGAGTCAGTCAACGGGAAAAACATTCGTGACTAATTTTAAAAATGGGAAAGTTTCAAACTAGAATTGACAATGAATAAATTGAATTGACAATGACTCCAGAAAAGCTTTAAGTAGTCAAAATAAAGTAGTATAAGTAAGATAATAAGTAAGATAATAAGTAGTAAGTAGTATAAGTAAGATAATAAGTAAGATAATAAGTAAGATAATAAGTAGTAAGTAGTATAAGTACGATAATAAGTAATAAGTTTAAGAAACGGGCGGGTTTCGCGAATAAAATTATTGACGTTGACGACATTGTCACCTGATGCTGTCTGACACATATTCGTTCGCCTGCGCATCTCTGCGCATCTCTGCGCAAATTCGAAGATTTCGAATCAAAAATTCATCCAAAAGTTTAGTTTTTTTAAAAAATTCAAATATTTTTCGGCAAACTGAACCAGTGATGCAAGTTTTCGATATTTCCTCACACATTTTCGTGTATTTGCTGACGCGGCGAAATCTCTCGTTTTTTGGGTGGCCTCGTTTCGGGGCGGATTGTCGCGTAATCGAGAAACCTCGAGGTCACAAAGGAAATTTCCAACAAAAACAAGAAAAGGAACGCTTTTGATGGTTTTTTGAGATAAATCTTCCGAACTCCTCGAGAACATAAAGATCGAAGAATGGATTTCGAGGAGCCGACACTTTGCGACGATTATCTCCCGTTGGACATCGTCACTTTTGAGGCACAACTGCAATATCGGGGATTGGGGAAAAAGGTAAAGCTTTAACTAATAAATCATAACTTTAGGCTAAAGTCTTTAGTAAACTTTCAGCTGAATATCTTCTAGTTTATAAATCAAACAAAAGGGGCAGCTACGAAAAATCTACGCAAAAAAAGGGGCGGGGCTTCGTAGCTTTCATAGCTGCCCCATTTGTGTGAATCTTTTCCATAAAATGAACAGATATTCAACTAGTGCTTAGAACTATTTAACTAGAGCTAGAACTTTGGAAGTATAGTCTTTAGCTTCTTAAAGTATAATCTTTAGCTTCTTAAAGCCTAGTATTCTGTCTCATTACGGTTTAACTAGAGCTAGAACTTTGAAAGTATAGTCTTTAGGTTCTTAAAGTATAGTCTTTAGCTTCTTAAAGTATAATCTTTAGCTTCTTAAAGCCTAGCATTCTGTCTCATTACAATATGCTAGGGTATTAAGCCGTTAAAACTGGACACTTTGTTAGCATCGCTAGCAATATTTTTTTGTAGCCCAGCCAAGTACATGTTGATCGTACTCTGTGCTCTAAACACTCTCTTTCTAGCACACTCAACAACAACCGGTGTTCTAAAAACGACGAGCATTTTGGTGCGCTGAAAGAGTGCGTTTTCATGAGCACAAAGTACACGGAATGCATCAGAAGTTGCGTTTTGTGTATGAAAACGTACATTAAACGTTTTTATTTAAGCATTTCAGGTTAAAGCCACAATCCCACTGCCATTACCCGATTCGAGCGATGCAGACGAATTCATTGCTCACATTGTCACGACACAGAAGATCCCTGATCCGTTGAGACCCGGTAACAACTTAGAACTACAGTAGCCCTATCGTAGACATTAGACAGGAAAATTCCAACCCGAACCTAATTCCACCTTCGTTTTCGCAGCCGTCTCTTGACCGATTGCTCTGAAATTTTGTCTATAAGCAGAGTATGCTAATTTCTATTTCTAAACAACATTTCAGAGCAATCGGTCAAAAGACGGCCGAAACGAAGGTGGAATTAGGTTCGGGTTGGAATTTTCCAAGTTCAGTAGAAATTACTCAGCTTTTCCGAAACAAGACAAGTTTAGAGCTAAAGAAAAAGTTCGAGGAGTTCATCGAAAAAGAAAGACAGAGATTGGAAGATGCGAGAGATGATCAATTAATTCTCAACTCAAGAATTGAAGATCTTGATCTGCAATGGAGTCGCGTATTCGAAGAAGTATTTAATAAGGGAAATTGGGGGGAAAATTTCATTCAGCAAAACGAGAAACCATGTACTTCAACGGCTTCTCAATTCGGCGATTATTTTCTCTTCATCATGGAGAACTCGAGCGCCGAGAGATTGACACTTTTGATGGAAAAAGAAGTGCAAATGGTTGATAAGGTGAGGCTAAAGCTATTATGAATCTTGTGATGTAATCATTGCACCATTCTGTGATGTAATCATCATTCTTGTGATGTAATCATTGCATCAAATCATTGCACAATTCAAGAATTGAGCTCACTAGAAAGAATATGTGGCTTTTACGTAATTTTCGGGTATTTTGAACGGGTTAACTTTGAAGGCCTATGACTTTTTCCAGAGATAATCTTTTTCTTAACTTTTTATATCATTGTACAGAGGACATCTGAGGCTTTCAAATGATATCAAATAGAGCTTGGCTAGCTTTTCATTACCATGCAAACAAGGCAAGCCGACACCCGAGTTTGAAAAGCCTCATTTTCTCAGAGTTGGCTCTGATTTTCTTGGATTGGATTATTCAATCAAGCTCTATTTGGTATTATTTGAAAGCCTGAAATGTTCTCTGTACAATGATATAAAAAGTTAAGAAAAATATTATCTCTGGACAAAGTTATAGGCCTTCAAAGCTTGACGACCCGTTCAAAATACCTGGAAACGACGCAAGAGCCGAATATGTTTGGATGAGATTTCATTTCTGCTTTCAGATGAGCTCCATCGTTCGTGCTCGTGACTGGGAATTGGACTCGTTGAGGCGGGAGTGTGAGACATTGATGGAATCAACGACTGGAGATGCACATCCACACGAATTGAGTCGTTTGAATGAGAAAAATGCGGGTGAGTTACAGTACAACAAGTAAAGTTAGCCTAGATCATCAATTGTAGGAAACTTTGAACAGTCTACTACATGAGTAAATCTTGCTATCTGTAGCTACTGTAGCTACTGTAGCTATCTGTCTACCATAGAGCTATATTTCTGTAGCAATCTGCTTACTGTAACTGTCTGATCTACTGTAGCTATCTGTCATACTAGCTATTTAGCTTTACTATTTAGCTTTACTATTTAGCGTTACTATTTAGCGTTACCAAATTTTCAATTAGATTAAATCAATTTGAGCAAGTGAAGATCGAGCCTTGTTAGCTTAAAAACTTTATAAAAAGTCATTTCTATCTTTTAACAAATTTTCAGCACGTTCACAACACATACACTTGCCAAATCGAGGCGTTATTGGAGAGGCAAAAGTTCAGCTATCGGAAAATCGTGACAACAATGTATGAGACAGATGAGCTGCCGAAGGAGTTAATCGAAGAGGAAAAGGACTCGAATTTGGTCATTTCACGGTGGGTAATTAATTTATTCAAAAGACACCGCACATGTACAGAAATCATTGAGCAATTGGAGGAGTTGAAAGACTTCTGCCTGTCCAGTGATTCGTTTATTTCTGAAAATTTGAGTGATCTCGGAGTTTCGATCTTACCCTAGCCTCTTTTTAATAAATTAAAGGCTGTACAAATCTATAAGAATACGTGTATTAGGTTTTCTAGAGTACGGTAGAGTACGGTAGCTTGTAATAGCTAGGGTACGATAGGGCATGAGCTCAGAGGTTCTAGCTTTGCCCCCATTGCCAGCTTCTAATACAGGCTTAGCCTTTAGCCAGTTGAAAAACCCACCTTTCCATAGTAAGCCGGTGCATAAGCAGGGACGGCTGGTGCGGCTGCAACAACTGGAGCAATTGGGGCGGCATAAGCTGGAACTGGGGGTCCAACAGGCACCGCTGGAGCAGCAGCAACGGAGCCGCTGGAGCCAAGACTGATGGGAATGGTCGATAGTAGGTGTAAGTTGAAGCAGGGGCCAGCTGAAAATGGAAAATGAAGAGTTGTAGCTGTAGTTGACTCACCACTCTTGGCGCATAGAAGATTTGCCCGCACGCGACACTCAATAGCATGATGGTGCAGAGGGCGCGTAGGGAGCAGCTGAAAGTACGTGGGTTAAGGTTACTGTAAAGTTCTAGTATTAGTAAGACTACAGTGCTCAGGCTTACTGTAGGCTTACTATAGCAGGTGTATTTGAAAGCTTAAGACTAGTACTATACAAAGTAATCCAAGTTAAAGCTAAAGATTTGATGGCTTATAGGTAAAAGAACTAGTCTTGGCTAGATACAGCTAGAGGATTGTAGCAAGGCTTACTGTAGGATAATAGGAAGGCTTACTGTAGGATAATAGTATGGCTTACTGTAAGTTAATAGTAAGGCTTATTGTAAGCTAATAGTAAGGCTTACTGTAGAATAATAGCAAGGCTCACTGTAAGTTAATAGTAAGGCCTACTATAGACTTGCTGGTGCAAGGCTTACTGTGGCTTGCTATAGAATTGCTATAAGCTTACAGTAGCAACTGTAGGTTTACTCTAGGCTTACTCTAGGCTTACTGCAGGTTTACTGTAGGCACTCTAGGCTTACTGCAGGTTTACTCTAGGCTTACTCTAGGCTTACTGTAGGTTTACTCTAGGCTTACTCTAGGCTTACTGTAGGTTTACTCTAGGCTTACTCTAGGCTTACTGTAGGTTTACTGTAGGCTTACTCTAGGCTTACTGTAGGTTTACTCTAGGCTTACTCTAGGCTTACTGTAGGCTTACTGTAGCAAGAAACTGTCTACTTTTAAAACTCAAAAACCCACGTTGTTCCGGAGATCATCGTTGAAAAGTTACTTGAGTCTTGGTTGCCTCTGACTCAATTACCTCCTTTATATGTCCTCGAAGCCGATCATCTTTGCACGTATCTATTAGCTGAAAGGGAAGCGATGTACATAGAAAGTTATGCTATTTGTTCTGAATGGGTGTGAATTGAAGAGAAGGGAAAAGGCTTTGTTCATGGGAAACAAGCAGTAGGTGACTGTTGACTGTTGACAAATAAGCCATGATATGAAAGAAATGCGAAAAAATGGGGGAAAGAAAAGAAAGAAAAGAAAGACCAGAAGCCATTGTAGACAACCAATATTTGCAGCCATAGTCGGCATTGAATCGGCTCTCCATTTTTTGACTGAATAGCCGCTGCAATTGCTGAAGTAGAGGCTGAAAAGTGAAAATGTTTCGAGAATTTAGAGATTTTCGCTATAAGCTTTAGTTTTACAAGTTTTAGTTTTACAAGTTTTAAGATTTTACAAGTTAATCAATATCCCATAGCAATTTTAATCTAAGAAAAACTAGGATTGGCTTTAAGAAAAACTATGATTGGTAGTATTGCAGAGCCTGCAGAAATTGAGAGAGATTTGCAAAGAACTGCAAATTTACTGGCTGAGTTTGCAAGAAGCACACTTACCGAGTTTGCAAGAAGCACGCTTACCGAGTTTGCAAGAAGCACACTTACCGAGTTTGCAAGAAGCACGCTTACCGAGTTTGCAAGAAGCACGCTTACCGAGTTTGCAAGAAGCACGCTTACCGAGTTTGCAAGAGGCATACTTACCGAGTTTGCAAGAAGCACGCTTACCGAGTTTGCAAGAAGCACGCTTACCGAGTTTGCAAGAAGCATACTTACCGTAGTTTTCTATTTTCAACTCTATTCTAAGAGTAAAGTTAGACTTTATTCTAAACTAAAAGGTACATTTTTAAAAATCAAAGTAGCTTTTATGAGATTTGCAAAGATTTTCAAAGTTTTCGGATTCCGAAATAGGTTAATGCACTTTCCAAAGCGCACAAATTCTAAAAATCTACCATAATCCACAAGAAAACAGCTTAAAACGGTTGCTTTTCAACTCTTTATCTTCGAAAGAGTCACTACTTTTGATCAAAAAAAAAATTCATTCAAATCAATTCAAATCCAATCCACTTGTTACAGAGTGTTCTCTCAACAAGATTCTTTCGCTGAGGAGAACATATTCGACGAGAGTTTCACCATATATTTAGGTAAATAAATCAAAAAATCCTTAATCTTTATAAAATTCGTTTAATTAATGCAGTTATTTGCAATTCAGGAGCGCAATTGAAAACGATGCACAATGTGCGGCTGTTGTCAAGAAAGACCCCACTGAATGGACCGCTTGGAGGTAGAGAGAGCCAAATTAGAGCCAAATTTTTGTTAAAAGATTGGGCAAAGAAATGTGTTCAAACTTGTTGACTGAATATTTTTGCATTAAATTAAGCTGTAACCTTGAGGTAACCTTTAGGTAACCTTCCAGAGTAACCTTTAGAATAACCTTTAGAGTAACCTTTAGAATAACCTTTAGGGTAACCTTTAAGATGTAACCTTTAGCGTAGCCTTTTGGGCAACCTTTAGAGTAACCTTTAGAGTACACCTTTTTAGAGTAACCTTTCAGGGTAACCTTTACAGTAAACCTTTACTTTACGGTATTTCAGGGAGCATTTCTCAGCGTCTCCAATCGGCGATGGTCTCTACAGAAGAGGCAGGCTTCATGGAACGATCATTCTCGTGAAAAGCATCCAATGTGGCACACTCAAGAAAGGACCGGTAACTGAGTTTTTAGATCGATTTACGAGAGTATAATATCTATATTCTACAGTATATTGTAGTTGATTTATCCTTTTTCCAGATCTCCCACTTTTGAGCTTGCGAGAAGTCTACTGAGCTTCACTTTGAGACGCTCGGGAAACAGCTTAGAACAAGTGCAAGAAATTCGGAGGTGAATTACTGGAAGCATCTACAAGTTCCTAAAGAATCACGAAATTTCTAATCTAATGCATATGTCGTAGCCGTTTACAGAATTCGGCCCGCTAACGAGTGAGGGTATTTTCAAGGGCATCCAATCAAAAAGTCACCCACATAAAAAGTATTCATAATACATATATTTTATAATAAATTTTTTGAATTAGCTCATTTGGTTCAAGTAGAAAATTTTTGAGCCCCCAAAGTTTAGGTTCAAAATGATGTTTCATAAAAAAGATTTTCTACTCAGCCAAAAAACTTGCCCTAATAGCTTATTTTGTACCCAATTTGTTTTAGTTTCTTAAACCTAAGCTTATAAAACAATTTTTCGTTGAAAGTAGGGAGAAAGAGGGCGAGGAACAGATTCAGGGCAATTCTCTCCAAATGTGAAAACAGCGACCGAGTTCAACTGAAGTCGTTCCTCGCCACCTCTTTCTCCTAGTTTTGAGAAAAACAAATGTTCAATCTAGCTTTACTTTAAAAATCTACATCAAATTGGCTACAAAAATGAGCTATTAAAACCAAGTTTTCCCAGCTGAGTAAGAAATCTTTTATAGCCATTTTTAGGAACATAAGCTTTGGAGAGCTCAAAAAAAATTTTCTACTGAACCAAATGAGCTAATTTCAAAAATTTATTATAAATATATGTATTATGAACACTTTTTATGTGGGTGACTTTTTGATTAGTGCCCGGAAATACCCTCATTCGTTAGCGGCTGAATTTCGTAAGCAGCTACGACACATAAATTGTATAAATCTAATGTATAAAATCTAAAATTGTATTTAATCAAATGTAAATTGAATTACAAGAGTAAAAATGCGATTCTTTGGGCTCCCAAAGGAGCCAATCAATGGCGTTGTGAGCAGAGTTTCCAAAGAAAGTGACAGCTGGGCAGAGTTTACAGGTGATTGGGGGTCAGAGAAAAAGGTTCACCTTGAAACGAAGAAAAATATTCAATTTAGATTTGAAACCTTCAAAATCAAGTACTTATCTAATACTTATCATTGCCCATCTATTGCTTATCTTTTTTTCTAGACTCCATTCGATGCAGAGAACAACCGGAAGAGTGTAGTCTTTTGGTCGGCGATCTCTCTACACGACAAGGCACCCAATTTGGATGGAGTACAGGTTTAAATACCTTATTTTGGCTGGAGAAAATTTTGGGGATTTTAAGATCATTTTCATCTCGTTATCGATAATGCGTTGAGAAATTAAGGGGAGGATAATACGAGTCGGTGAGTGAGTGTGGAGGAAAAGGGGAAATTTTTCGGCTGGATATTTCAGAATCGAGTTTACGAAGGGCTTTTGCGGCTTAAAATAGATGTAAAATAGATCTAAATAGATGTAAAATAGATCTAAATGATGTAGAAATAAATGTAAATAGATGTAAATATTGGGTTGGGGTGGAAAAGTCCTTTTCCGGATTTTTAGGGAGTACCTTAGAATTTGTCGAATTTTGACGTTTTATGAAAAACAAATCCCTTAGGCTGAATTCAAGACGAGATCGATTGGTAAAAATCGTTTTGAGATATCTCTTTTCTAAAAGTTTTTACAGCTATTTTAGTAAAGGGCGGCAGAGCAAAAAAAAAAATGGCTGTTTTCACGTTTCGTTAGTTTTCCATGCAGAAACCTAGGCTAAAAACATGTGTTTCGTGATCAGCGTCAAAAATAATCCCTAGACACAAATTTTCAGAATCTTAGCAAAAAATTTGTGAAAAATATTGTCACCGGTGGAAGTCGAACCAGTGACCCTCAGATCAATAGCCTTTCCGTCGCTTTTCGCGATTTTCCTTCGTTTCCCCCCCTTTTTTTTTGTTTTAGAAAAGAATATCAAAACGGTTTTACCAATCGATCCGTCTTGAATTCAGCTTTAGGATGAGCTATAAAACGTCAAAATTGGCCAAGTTTAAGATACTCTTCCCCCAAAATCCGAAAAGGACTTTTCCACCAACCCAATAGATCTAAATAGATCTAAATAGATGTAAATAGATCTAATAAATCTAAATTAGCTTTAAAGCTGGCTTAAACTTTAAAACTAGCAGGAACCATGGTACTTTTAAGGAGGTAAACTGTATCTTTAAGTGAGCACGGGATTTTTGATACCTACAGTGATAAAGGATCATTGTAAAATTTGTTAAGAAAAGTAAAGTTATTCAACTTTTCGATGGCTTTTTCTTTTTTATGGCTTTTCTAATGTACAGATTTTCCAGTCACCCTTGTCTCCCCAGGATTCGTAACGTGATTGAGCTTGTTCCCGTTTTGGTGTCACGTCGATCAGCATCCCATTGTTGCTAATTAGAAGAAGCGAAGATAGAGGTATTAAATTGATTTCTATAAACTGAATTCAAATCAATTCAAATCTAAACCTTCCAGAATATGACAGTTCAATGGTGTGTGAAGAGAGCCGAGTTGGTCTTCAGGGCTTGTGTGAAGGGGTATTTGATGGAAGTGAACTTTTGAATCTGAAATAGTACCACCGTTTGACGATCAAGTGATCATGGCTGACCAGGTTTAGGCCCAATGACATCCAGAATTTACCACCGCACCCTTTCTGGTGCACAAAAAGTCCCCAATTATTGTTAGAAGGCTTCAGCCGAGTTCAAAACGTTTTAACAGTTTCTAAACCAACAACAAATAAAATTTTCGAGGAATTCTTTAATCCTGGAAGCACGCTTGCCAATAAAGCCAAAACACGCTCTCTCTGGCGCACTCGAAAACTTTCTTTTGGGTGATCCAGTGCTAACACTACAGTAGTCATTTTCAGCTCTAAATAGATTTTTATTGTTATTTTAAATAGTCATTCTCAGCACTAGTCACTACTTTGTCCGTTAAACAAGTCTACTAGAGGCATACTGTACCCCCCCGTACGGTACATACTTTTTGACCAAGGATACCGGCTCTACTGTGATCCATTTTCTATTCTGCACTAAGAAGAGAGGGAAGGACAAGTGGCTGAGCCGGTCAAATGCCTATACGACCTATACCATTCGACGCAAAATTTTGTGCTGATTCTGAATATATATTCCGTTTTTGCTAAATGACAATCTGCCAGCAGTTATAAGCGTCTAAAAGTTTGTTAGGGCTCTGAAAATTTGGCCATTTAGGTCTTAACGGTCTCCCTTGTAGACCAGTTTCAGTGTGACCGTGGCCGAGTGGTACAGTGTTCGTTTCCAGATCGAGACCTCACGGGTTCCGATCCAGACTTTCGATTTTTCATTGCTTTTTTCAGCAACAAGTGTTGACTAGTTTGTGCAAATTCTCGATCTGGAAACGAACACTGTACCACTCGCTTCGGCTCCACCAACTAGTCAACACTTCTTGTGTTGTGCGCGCACAACATATTTCTTGTTGTCACACTTTCAACGAAAATCCAAAGTGGGGATCGAACTCGTGAGGTCTCGCTCTGGAAACGAACGCTGTACCACTCGACCACGGTCGCACTGGAACTGGTCCGCAAGGAGGCCGCTAAGACCACGTTTTCCCGAGCCCTAACAAAACTTTAGACGCTTATAACTGCTGGCAGATTGTCATTTAGCAAAAGCGGAATCTCTGTTCGAAATCAGCATAAAATTCTGCGTCGAATGGTTTAGGTCCCATAGCATTTCGACTCAGCCACTTGTCCTTCCGTTGTAAGTTTACAATTTTCCATCAATCATTCCAGGTATGCGGTTCTGGCTGGGAATCGAGTGCACCAGGTGGTCCAGCGCTTTCCCATTCTCCTCACTACAACATCAATTTCGTCCTCCCATCCGGCTTGGGTGCTTCCGTGCTTTCCTAATCACTGCCATGTTCCCCACAATTTTTCACTTGGTCCCTTCGAAAAGTGCTTGACTTGTATTTCTCTTTATTTTATTTGTCTTTATGCATAAATTTCTTAATTAAATTTCAGAATCAAATACACTTTACTAGAAATTACATCAGCGACAGGAAAATCCGTAGTGGTTGTTCAGCCAAAAATTCTCAACTTTGCAAAAGCATATGCTAATCTATTGGGTGGTTAAACAACCACCCAATGAGATCAGCATATGATTTGCGTCGGTCGAAAGGTTGTCATTTGTAGCCCCGCGTACACGCGGCTCAAAATGTTCAATGAGAAACCGAGAGAGACACGTAAAGGCGCCGAATTGAAAAGGCCTAAATTTCGCAGTGATTTCAAAAGCTTTTTCAAAAATGCGCTTTGTGTCATTCTTTCAAATTGAAGGGCTTTTTTTGTCAATTCCACAAAATTTTCCCTAAATTTTCTTCTCAAGCAACTTTGATTTAGTGAAACAAAGCTCATTTCGACCTCATAATCAACGATATTTCGGTTTTATTTTGATTTCACTCTATTAGACTTTGGTTTTTATCGTTTTATCGATGACGTTTTATCAAATTACGTTTTTAGGGAATGCTTGATGAGGTCGAAGCCCCAGCCACCACGTCAATTGAGCAAACGGAGCCTCTACAAGATTTGTGAGTTTACCATTTTCGATGGAAATTTGAAGCAATTTAGAATAGAATAAAGTACAATTTATTCAATCGCAATGAAAACAATGTCATTTTGTTTCTTTTCCTCGCATTTTACTCGACTTCTTGCTGCATTCGCGTTTCCCAGAGCTCACATTTTTTATCATTGACTTTGGCACGGAGCTGGAAAATGAAAACATTAGTTTTTAATGTAGATAACCTAATCAAGATTGATAATCTATAAATAGGGTCGACAACTTGCATTCGGATCGATTTCCCTGTCGAAAAGCTCGGTGTCTGTCGGCTGAAAGTTTGTGTCAATTGCCTCGATCTCTTGAATCCATTCATCGTTTTCGCTCTAGATAATAATAAAATTGTAGAGATAAGATATTAGTTAAAGCCCACCTCTAACTTTTCGTCGATATTTCCTCGGTAAACAGCCGCTTCACGAAGTGGGATTTCTTTCAGCTTTTGGTTATAGATCGGCGACTAAAGGAAAATTTAATTGGGTTTTCTGTAAGGGTTAGACCTTATCAGGCAGTCCTTCTCGATTTTGCAGGCGCCACAATCGCCGATTCTCGACCACACTCGTTGCTGTAGACGAACCGGTTGTGGTGTTTGTGGTCACACTTTCATCTGTAGCTGGCTCCTAAAGGAAGGATTAAATTCAACGATTAAGCCTACCTTTGGCTTCACTTCATTGTCGACCGGTTTGGGTAAAGAGACCTCCTTCGTAGACTTGGACTCCTAAAATTACAAAACGAGCATTAAATTCTGCTGATTAAGCTGAAAGACCTTTGACTTTTCGACGTGTACTTCATTGGCGACCGGTTTGGGCACAGAGATCTCCATTGTGAATTTTAATTCCTAAAGTAAAAAGATTAAGAGTAAACAAAACTCTACATTTCATAAAGTAAAGTGTCTACCTTTCGTTTTTCCAGGTGCTCAACGATTTCCCCTGTCTTGGGCACAGCGACCTCGCGCTTTGATTTCGATTCCTAAAAATAATCAATACCCAAATTTTTAGCAAAACACTTACATTTCTCTCTTTGCTTTTGGCCTTTTGCGACGCAGAGCACCCGATTGATCCAAAAACGAGAAGAAACGGCAGCAAAATTCCTAAATAAAAACATTTTGAGGGAGATTGGATTAAAAAACACTTACCAATGACAAACGTTTGTATCATTTTTCCCGTCGGCTCGTTAAAACTTGGCTCGAATCCTTGAATCATAGCGAGTATTAAAAAAGTATGATCAAAATGAAAAATTTTATTTTCTTGAGGGAAGACTCATTCTCTTTAATGCAGATTTGTATATGTAAATTTAGAGACGAAGATGTGAGCGGGACGAAGATACAGGCGACTCCTATCCGGAAAAAGAGGATTTTGTCAAGGCCTACAATTGAAGTTAGTTGTGCATTTTCTTTTTATCTAATATTGTTTTTAGTTTATCAATTTCCATCCTGAAGCCATCGAGTTTGTGGACCGAAAAGTGAAATCGCCATCGAAAGTGGACAAGTACACGCACATTGGAAGAACAAATGAATTGAGGTTAAAACCAGAAAGATTGCTAAAGTTTAGTACTCTCTTTATAGATTCAAAATGGTAAAGTCTGATTCCCGATTGATCAAGACTCTTCTACACGCGTATGGGTTCACACAAGCTTCGGTAAACAATCCGGTCTTCAATTTGCTTTGGACGGGTGCTCATTTGAAATCACACATTTTGCGAAATCTAAAACCTTGGTAAGCTTGCATACGAATACTTTAATTAGTGATCTTTTTAGGCAAAGAGCTAATCATTTTTCCGAGATCTTACGAGCTCACTCGAAAAGATAAACTTTCTGACAACATTGCTCGAGCGAAGAGAAATTTCGGAACACCCTTTGACTTTGTAAGTGTGAAGCTTTTTTGGCATTTGAGTTTAAAGTTTAGATGCCTAAATCTTTTGTCACTCCTCGAGATTTGTCTAAATTGTCAATGGAGATCGAGGAAAACTCGCAAAATCTTTGCACATACATTGTGAAGCCGATCAACAGCTGTCAAGGAAAGGAATTCATTTTGTGAATAAGGTGAGAAAAATATTTGCTTTTAGATTTACACAAGATGCTTTTAGGCTGACGAGGTTTCACTTGAGAAAAAGCTTCTTGTCTCTCACTATGTCGCAAATCCACTTTTGGTGAATGGACACAAATTCGACTTAAGGTATCATCAATGTTCCAAACTTAAAAGTTCCTTTTCTTAGAGTTTACGTGGCTGTGACATCATTTTATCCACTCATTTGTTACGTCTACAGCGAAGGACTTGCGAGGTGGGAATATATCTCGGAATGTATGAAACCGTTTTTTACAGATTTGCCTCTGAACAATACTCGTCGACTGCGGAAAATGGAAAAGAATTTGTTCACTTGACAAATTATTCGTTAAACAAGAATAGTACTACCTTCGTCAAGTAATTTTTTTATCTTTTACAAAACTAATTTTGTTTTAGGAATGAAACTTTTTTTGAGGAAGATTTTGGACATAAATGGACACTCGGTGCGCTTTTGAGACATTTGCAAAAGCGGGGGAGTCGATTCAAAATGTAAGTTTTTTTGTTCTTATATCAAATTCATTAATGCTTTTAGTACTGATGATTCGAATCGAAGATCTCGTCACCAAAACATTGCTATCCGTTCAGTCAACTATCTCCGCAAAATGCCGGTGGGTCCTATTAACAAAAATGTCAGTAGAACATTACTTTTAGTAGCACCGTTTTGGCGATCAACACGAACTTTGAGCTTTTTGGCTTTGACATCTTGGTCGATTCAAAGTTGAAGCCATGGCTTTTGGAAGTGAATCTCTCGCCGAGCCTTACTTGGTAAGCCTGTTTTTAATTCATTCTTTAAAGTAGACTTTTTCTTTAACCATGCGCTTTAGTGATGCTCCGCTCGATTCCTTGGTGAAAACACGCCTCATTTGTGATCTTTTCAACCTCGCTTGCATTCCGTTTTACGATCGCAAACCGACAAATGGGCAAAATGAGACACCAAAAATTCGAATGGCAAGCCCTTCGCTTTTGCCCGTAAAGAAATCTCCAATTGCAAAGGTATGCGCAAATTTTTACATTGCGATATTAAAGTTTTTGTTCAGAATCTTGTAAATGGCAGACCTTTGGATTGTCGAGCGGTGAAACACATACGAAAGCTAAAATTCGAAGATGCGAGAAGAGGGGGATTTATTCGAGTTTTCCCAAGAGTTGGATCTTTTCACATATACAAGTATGACAAAACATGATATTAGACGTAACGGGCCTTTTTAGAGAGTTGATGTCGCATAGTGGAGTCGAGAAATGGGACGAACGATTGTATGAGAGTGTTTTTTGGCGAAAAATCATTCGACGAGGAGGGAGTATTTGCGCAAAAGTTCCACGAGCAGTTGATGAAAGTTGAAAAGGTAAAGAATTGAATATTTTTTTAAATATTTTTAGTTTAGTTTCCTTCGACGAATCTACTGGACAACGATGTCTCACAAGCTATTTCAACTTGGCTTGACGGAGCAGAAGAATACCTGCAAAAAGTGACACGGGAAGGCGAGACGTACATGGGTTGGTAATATTGATTTAGTGCTAAAGAGAATGCTATTAGTACGTTTTGTTTAATTCCAATTCTAGCCAAGCTACCACTGGTGAGAGAATCGGCTCGTCTCCGCACAAAGAGTTGTTCCGATTTCTACGAAGCTCGAGCTGCAGCAAAGTTAGTGGAGCCAGTTGTGGAGAATTTTGCAGCCACTTATCAAAAAGAAATCGATGATAGGTATGTGAATTGTTTGAAGTTAAGATGCAAGTTTTGTACCAGTTTTATTAGTGTACAAGTTGTTTATTTCAGTATAATGCCGTTAAACGACTTGACAAACAGTGGTCACGCGCTCTTGGATTTTGCAAACCTTATCGAGAATCGATCCATTGACGCAAATTTGTGGTAAAAGTTTTCATTTGTGATAACAAACAAGCATTACTACTTTTAGTTCCACCTCCACTGCTACCACCGTTAGCTGTTAAAACGATTAAAATGTTCTCGATTTTTATATTTTTTAAAGATATCTATTATTTTGTGCGATGTCTGGGTATTCAATCCAATGAAGCATATCCATTTTTGTGTTAAATTTTTACGAATTGTGGATCAGCTTAGTGTTACTTTGATTTAAAATTGTGCTCAGGTTCTCATTTTGATACTGATAGGGAATAAACAATTGATAAATGAAAGGTTTTTTTTAAAAGGCAATCGGTTACGATCCGATACAAGTTCTTCATGAAAATTTCGCCCACTTACTTTTGTCAAAACGCACGTTTTTTATAACAATTCTTGATTTAGGTATTTAAATGTCAAGTGGTGAAGAGGATACTCCACTCGGAGAACTCCAGGCAAAACACAGAAAAGAGAAGAAGGACTTGCAGGTAAAAATCATCTTTTAACGTGTAACTTGCAATTTTTCAGGCCAAGATCCAAGCGTCGAAGAAAAATGCAAAAGGTGGCAACAAGAAGCAGCAAAAAGAAGCAAATGAAGCGGCCGAAGCGATGGAAAAGGAAATGAAAGAGAGACACGACCGAGAAGTAAGTTTTAAAGTTTCATTCATTTACCCGTTCACTATTAGATCACTGAGCTCAAGTTGCAAGAGGTGAAAGTTGGAGGAACAGCGGAGGCTTCAAACGCTGCGAAAAAAGGCGAAAGTGAGCACGAAGATGATGAGGAGTCGAAATTCTATCGAGAACCCACGAAGAAGTCTAAGGTGGGTTTAATTTTGAATACTAGTCCGGTGTATCTCAAGTCCAAACAAGAATGCTTAGGCAATGTTGCGACGTGAAAAGAAAGAGGAGGACAATCGACGAGCAGCCGCAGCTGCGAAAGAAGATGAGAAAAACGCTAAATTCGGACAACGCGCTAAGGAGTGGGAAGTTATCAATCGACAACTTATTGAACGAGTAAGCAGGGAGCTGAAACGACTTTTGACTACCGATTTTAGGGTCTCGAGACTGTGGATATACCGTCTGATGGTGATTGCCTTTTCAATGCCATTGCTGATCAATTGAGACAAAACGGCAACGGTGGAGGTAGTTCTATGTTTTATGAAGTTACATCAAATTTCTCTAGTAACTGGAAAAGAGCTCCGAAGAAAAGCAGCTAATTTTATGCGTGCCCATCCCGACGATTTCATGCATTTCATTGACACTTCAGAAATTGAAGGCGACGATGTACGGTTTTAGCTGTTGACAGTATCATTTTTGTTTTTAGATTGATCATGAGGCATTCAAGAAATATTGCAAGCGCATCGAAGGGGACAGCGAATTGTGGGGTGGTGAGCTCGAGATTAACGCTTTGTCGAGAGCCTTGGAAAATAAAATACAGGTAGACTTTAGCGTTTTTTAAATTCGGTTGAGTTATGCTTAGAAATTTTTTTTGCCTGCACCAGCATAGAATAATTTTGATTTTAGGTGATTCAACCAGATGGCCGTCTCCTTGAATTTGGCACCGATTATTCAAAGAAAGCCCACTTTGTATTAACATATCATCAGCACGCCTTTGCTCTTGGATGTCATTATAACTCGACACGTAAAGCAACACAAAAAAACGACGAATAGTCATTTTCGGCTACTTTTTGCATTTTCTTGATTTTTTTGGTGAATAAATGGTGAATATTTTCTTTGTGAGCTTTTGATCATAGTTGAAGAGCCTATTTTTATCTATGGTAAAAAGAATTGTGTATTATGGGGGTTAGATGAATTATTTTTACGTTGGTGAATTTCGCGAATTTCGGGCTTATGAGCTCTTTGCATCGAGAAGCGGTGTTCAACTTTTTTGTCGAGAAGGGAATTCTGTTGAAAGACGAATGGCTATTGGCGTGCCTCGAGTTTCTTTATGGAAGATCTGTGCTCAGGAATCAGGTAGTGCTTTTATTCTAACATACGTTTAACAATAGCCCAGTCTTACTTTTGTTAGTCAGTTTTCAGACAAATTCTTATGGCATTATTTTAAGCAGCCCATCCGAGTCAACGCACTTGTCTTCGAACAATGGCTCAACACAGATCTAGCCGACTCTTCTTATCCAACGATTGGGCAAATAGAGTTGGATCTAAATGCAGAACGATTAGAACTGCCTTCACAACTGATTCTTCAAGTAAGCTTTGAACTAAACTAAACTAAATTTGAAGCTTTCTTTTTTCTTGTTTCCTTTTTGATCGTAAATTAATTGCTTGTCTATTTAGATCGCAAGTCTCACAGATATTGGAATGTCAGCGCATGGCCAGTTGAACGGTTTCACACACGATGTGGTTGACGATTCAGGATTTGAACCTCTACAAGAAAAAGATCAGGAATCATACATGAAAGAGGTTTGAATTTAAACTTTTTAGTAGCAAAAGATTTGATGTTGATTCAGAGAAATATATCCTGTATTCTAGACTTCAAAGAGGTGTTTACTTTTTGAGGCGAACGATGGAGCGAATCATGTGAAACTTCTCGAATATTATCCAACACCATTTCTTTCATTGAAAGTACGTCCTGGAGCCAAGGTTTGTTGACTTAGAATAGAATTACCTATGTGCTTCATTTTAGATTTTAATGCTACCTCAAACTCGCATAAGACGTGGAACCTTTTATTTGACAGCGAAAAATTGTCAACTACTCGGCGGTGAAGTTGAGAAGTAAGTGTTTGATTGAAAGTTATGGTGCTTGGTGCCATAGTAGTTCGGGGGTAGGGGCAGTTTGTCAACACCGGTTTTTTCCGAACTCTCCACTAGTTTTAAAAACATTTTCTGGGGTAATTAATTGCGCTGAATCCATTGAAAGCATTTTAAAGCAATTCTGAAAGATTTATATTCCAATTTGAGCAACATTTTCAGGTCTTCAAGAGAGGCTCTATTTCCGCTAGATTCAAAGGTCCGGGACTGAATTAAGAGGTTCAAAATCTCAGTAACTGCTTGAAATAGCTAGAAAACAGTTACCAAAGCTTAAATAGATACTAAATTAAGAATCTACGCTATTAAAAACTCTAGGAGCAATAATTAGCGCCCTCTGGTTCAATAGAGACAAATGTACACTGCCCACCCCCTCCCCGAACTACTATAGCACCTGGCACTTTTTCTAAAATCAATTTTAGATACGCTTCTGGGTTGCCCATCGACATGTTACGGAAACGATTGAATCTAACGTCTCTCGGGGCAACTTCAGCTTTAACAGGTAGGATCCCATTTAGAAATTTTTGATATTTAGGCTTATGTTTAGTTCAGGAAAAGAAAATGTTGCCGAAAATGCTCAAGAGCGATCTTCCCCAGCCATATCTATTCCCATTTCAAGCGAGACCACAAAGAAAATGGATCAAAAAGCTCCCATCAATGATAAAAAGGATGCGACTGTAATAGGGTTTGTGCTTGTGAAAAGCTAGCTTTTAAATTTTATGAAAATTTCCGAACATTTGTTTTTCAGACGCATTCCCTCTAGCTCCAACACGACATTTTCTTTACTTGACGATGATGATTTTGAAGACAACACCAATGATGATCCAACAACAAGAAACCAAGTCTCATTTATGGGTTTGTTGATTCATTTTAGTTTATTTTATCACTGAACTTTAGAGAGCCAAAATTTAACGATCGAAGAAGAAGATTCATTTGATGCGCCAGCACCCTCAGAATTACAACGACTTCGAGAGTATCAAAATGCGAGACGGATAGAGCAACAATTGTCTACATCAAGCACATGCTTACGTCAACAAAAAGAACAAACACCACCATTACAGTCCGACTTTTCGATGACCGACGAGCTACCACCAACCCCATCACCACGGCGGCACTACGATGAACCGGTGATTAATCGGCTACCTTTACAAGTAAGTAATAAAAGTGTTGTATTCAAAAATTATTAGAGTAAAATAGTAAAACTTGTAACTTTTTTCGGATAACTTAATAAACCAATACCTTGACCAGACTTTAATATTTTTAAAATACATTTAGACGAAAACCCTTTTCTCGGCTCCACCCATAAAACGACCAAGACCCTCAATGCTTACAACAATAAAGCAAGAACCGGATGATGTAGAAGTCATTAATCTGGAAGACGAGGATGACGATTGGAAACCCGCACCCAAAACGTTGCAAGGAGCTTTGGAGCAATATGTAAGTTCACATGAATGAATAAAATCAATTCAATGGGTAACCTGCTTGACCTGCTTAACTTTATGTTTAGGATAGAAACGAGAGTGGTGAGATCGAGCGAGGAAAAGAAACGCCGAAACACTCCGGAAAAGTTGAGGTTATTGGCAGCCAATTTTTGATTTTTGCCTTTAGATTCACGAAAACAGATGGGGGACTCCTTCACCAAATGTTCGACTTAGCGTTTCAGAGGTATTTTTGTATTAGATTCTTGTTTAAATTCTCTCTTTTAGCCACCAATTCTCACCGCTTTCAAGGAGTTGAAAATTGTTTACATAGCCGACGCGTTGAAGCAAATGCGATACACTGTTGGCAGCTTGAAGAGAAATGTTCAGGTTAGGTCTTGAACAAAAACGTTTAAAAATTTGAGTATTCGCGTTGATTGGTAATTCCAAAAATCTTGTTTTAGGGAGTAATCGAGAGAGTCGTCGAACCGCTGACAATCGTCGATAGACTGTGGACACAAACGGTGGCGATACGCGTAAGTTGATGTTCAGATTTAAATTTATCAAAAGAACTAGGATGAATCCACTTCGCCAGATGGTATCAATTGTATCATAGCTGGGAAAGTGCTCGAACAACTTATCGGGATGGCCCCCGATGAGGCGGCGGTTAGTTTTGTTGGGGTTTTGTACTAGTTGTTGCGATTTTCTAGACTTTAAATGCAATTCAAGTAAAAAACACAGTAAATAACGTGCTCCATGCTCAATTGCTCAATTTTTTAAATTTAGGAAATTCGCCGTTCCTCAAGCGTTCAACGCCGATCCGAGGGTAAAGCACGACTCGTGGCTCTACAACATGCAATGGAACGCTTAGATTTGATATTCGAAGTAAAACTGTTTCGCTTTTTTTGCCGCTTAAACCTTTAGCATTTAGATTGAGTTCTTTTCCCGTCGCGAAGTGACACCGGTGATCTGTGATTTACAGACTCTCGCTCAAAGGTTGAACATGCTGTGATCGATGTTTGTCTTCCGACGATTCAATCTTTTCCCTTTTTAGTAACTTTGTGTATCATTTGATCAATGATTTGTCTTTTTGTATTGATTCGATCATTCTTATCTAAAAAGCTTTTTCTTCGATCTCAAGTAGTGTAGTCGTTCTCTGTAGTCTTAAACCCAAAATATGTAATGAAAATTTTCTAAACTCAGGCTTCTGCTTAATGAAAGGCACAGATCAATTCGATTTTTTTCATTTGGCAGACCCATTTATTTAGACAAGCAACAAAAAATGAGAGGAAAAATTTCGTGTTTGTTGGTCCAAAAAGAAATCGACGACGACAAAAACAGGGGGCATCCGTAGAGAAAAGCTCTAAAAGAAAACTTAATTCTGGTGATATCGATGAACAGAAGCAAACCTTGGCAAACATGGAATGCCTTTCAATCGGCACTTTCTCTTGCTTTTAGCTCTTCTAACTCTCGATAGCCGATGCACGATCCGATTGAGTCTTCATCTGCTCGTCAAAAAGCTTCAACTAAAGAAAAAGTTTAAATACTGACAAAAATATCTCAAACCTTCTCATAGCCTTTAGTTTGGGTTTTCTCCTTGCGCTTCGTGATGAATGGAATGGAGCCACCCTTCTTGTAGCTAAAAGAAAAACATTAGTACAGCTCATTTTACTATAACGTTCAGACAATTCGGAGAAAATACCTACTATTTCCAGCTGAAGCAACCGATGATGACAAAGATGATGACAACCAGAATGCAGACGCCCACTAAAATGAGGAGTAGAAAATCAAAAGCTTGGTAACACTAGTCGGTTATCAGATTTTTAGGGTTCAAAACGCGTGCTAGCTTATCTTTCCTACACCTTCGAATTTCCGCAACTAGTCCTTGCCTTTTCAAATGAGCTAAAATATTTGAAACCCTACATGCAATTTTCGTTGAAATCGCCATTTTCTCTAGCGGCGGCTCCGAGCCATCAGTGGTAGTGTTGGTGATGTTGGTGATGTTGCTGGTAGAGGAGTAATCATCATAGTCATCGGTGGTCGTCTTGATGGCGTCCACAGTGGTCGCGTTGATGCGAGGCGCCGGTTTTCTGGTGGTGGTCGTCTTGATGGCGTCCACAGTGGTCGAGTTGATGCGAGGCGCCGGTTTTCCGGTGGTGGTCGTCGAATCGTTGCCCGGCTTTCCTGGGTTTGAAGAAACAACGGGTACGGGCGTCACTTTGGGATCCACTGGTGGACGCGGGGTCTAAACAAAATCCGTATTCGTCTTTGAAAACAACAATTACCGTTGTGGTGTCAGATGCGTTTGTGACACGAGTGTTGTTGCCTAAAAAGCACAAATTATAGATGAAAGAAGGAAAATCGGCAAATTGGCCACATGAACAATAAAACTTACAATGAGATTTTCAAAAAATCATCAAAACGCAAAATTTACAAAAACAAATCCAAAAACTTACCATTTTCTCCTTGAGCAGAAACTTCGGAGAGAAGAAAAACGACAAAAAGAAACGAGAAGACGAGACGCATCGGAAAAGATGAGAGGAGAGGAGAAAAATGATGGGAAAATGAATGATTCGTTGCTTTTAAGCTTTTAAATGCTAATTTCTCTCTGTAGATGGAGATTTTCACCTTCAAATTCTTTTACAGTAGTTGTGTCGACAAAAATGTTTCAACTTTCAAAGACCGTACTCTTGGCTCTAGCTTTTGATTGAATCTATTGATCTATCAACTTTTACTCTCATTCTGTGAGGCTTCAGAAAGAATATTGAAATGAAAAAAATGAGTTGATTGGATAAAAATAGAGGGGGGTAGGCTAATTTCCGCAACTCGCCATAACTTTTTTTCTAAGTCGGCCAATCTTTATGATTTTGATTTCATTTTGTAGATCTCAATAAGTGCAACAAAATGAAATTAAAATCATAAAGATTGGCCTAGTTAGGAGAAAGTTATGGCAAGTTGCGTAAACGATCCAGTTGCGCAAATGACGCAAATGAGCAAAAAAAAATTAACCTACCCCCAAATAGAGACAAGCTTACGGTAGGACACTTTTTTAGAAAACACTTCACTCAACCCACATTTCAAGGTCACTTTTTTTTTTGATGCAAAAGTCATCATGTTTCCTTTTTTGTTTCTCTCAAATACATTGTGGCCAATTGTAGGGCCCTTTGCTGGGTCTCCTCATCTCTTTTCTGAAAAGGAATCGTTGTCTTGGCTACCATTTTTTTATTTTCTAAAAGAGCCCCTTTTCTTTAATTTTCCCCTTCTCGTAGATCTGATTTCGTTTTTTTTCTCCTTTTCGTTTCCATTTCTTGCTTTTCCCTTTTTCAATACGTCATTTTTCTTTTTAAGCTTATAGATTTTGCTATGAGATTAGGCTATTGTTTAGCTCATTTTTTGAGATTTATCCAGCTTAGGCTTTGCTTTGGTTACGTTTTGGAATCGTATTGCAAAAAGAATACGAAGAAACTATACAATGAAATGGAGCTTTCAATTCTTATTTTATTGAATCTTGATTTTTTGATCTAGCTTTTTGTCAGCGTATAAAATCCAGCTTTTGGCAAAAACCTTTGCTTTCAACTTACACTTTTTAAACAAGTAAATGAACTCGAATTTGAACAGTTAACATTTCTTTCTTTCGTTCTTTCTTCCTTTCTTTCTTCCTTTCTTTCTTTCTTTCTTTCTTTCTTCCTTTCTTTCTTTCTTTCTTTCTTTCTTTCTTTCTTTCTTTCTTCTTCCCCCTTGTCTTTCTCTCCTTCTCTTGGCAAGTTAGCTAGATAGCTAGATAGCTTACCGTAATACCTCGAATAGTAGCTCCCCATAATGACGGGGTATTGCCGCGTAGTCTAACTTTACACGCTCCGTTCTTTGCGCTGCTTTATGCTACAGTGTGCGTTTGGGTGTCAACTGATAGCCCTTGAAATCTAGTATTTTTTGGTACTAAAAGTGTAGTTGGGAAAAATCTAAGCGCTGAGAAAAAAATGATTTCTAAAAAGAAGTCAGACTACGCGACTGTACGGGCGTTCGATCTTTTACTTTCCGAGCAATTGCTCTAACCACCACCGCAACACCTCTAATAGTGATTAGAGGTGTTACGGTAGTGGTTAGAGCAATTGCTCGGAAAGTAAAGGTCGAACTTTCGTTCTTTTTCAGAGATCCGTGGATGCTCTCCACTTAATACGTCCCAGCTCCACGTCCCAGCTACCATACCCCGTGGCGCCAACAAAGCGAGTATATAAACCTTCTCAGTTCGGTTTCCCAGTTCATTTTCATAGTAAAAATCAAAAAATTAGTCATAAATTTGATTCTTTTATGTTTTCAAAGTATTTATTTTATTTTTTACTTGAAGTATTGATAAGAAAGTTGAGTTTTTATCAGAAATACGGGTCTTTTGTAAAAAAAATCGGGTCTTTTCACATTTCACATTTCCAACAATGTTCGATGATCTAGAAAAATTTTTTGTGCTTCTTTCTTACCTTATTGCAAAGAAAAATAGAAAAAAACTATTAAAAGAATCAAATTTATGACTAATTTTTGATAGTTCCTCTGTAAAATGAATCGGGCTTGTTGGCGGTAGCTGGGGCGCGCTATTGAGCGGAGAGAAGCCACGGATCTATGAAAAAGAACGGAAGGCTTCAATCCCCACTCCGAAAATCTACGTCTTTTTGTCAATTCCTTCACTTTATGCACTCACTGTTTGTACTGTGTTTGTACTGTGTTTGTACTGTGTTTGTACTGTGTTTGTACTGTGTTTGTACGCTTCAATCAACTCTTCTAATTGCTATCAAGTCTACCAACAACAATCGACTCGATGCATTAACAGAAAAGCTAGAAAAGATGCATTAACATTTTATAATAGTGTGGTGAATTGTCATCGCTTTGCAGTTACCGTATTTCTTCGAATAGAAGACCGGGTAAAGAGTATGATCGCGTACTCCTGCGTAGCAGCCCTTTTCAAAATTTCTTTTCTGCATAAAAGCTTTCAATCAAGTGCTATAGAGCTGGAAAGTGGCTCAAAAATCTGTTAGCTCATGTGGTATTTTTGAGTCATTTTCCAGCTCTATAACACTTGATTGAAAGTAGAGTGTGTTCCTTGCAGACAACGCGTTTTCTAAAAAGCGCGCGCCAAGGATAAGCTACCGTAACCCTATGCTTTGCATCAGCAAATTTTTCAAAATGCAAATGTACATTAAAATCTTGCGCTCTTTTTTTCTATTACTCTTTCCTTAACTCTATTACTCTTCCCTTAACTCTGTTACTCTTCCCTTAACTCTATTACTCTTTCGCTAAAACTTAAAAATTTTTAAATGCTATGTAAAATTAAAGAAAACATTTAAAACGGAAAAAGTTAATAAACACTATTAAAAAATTATATTATTTACGAATTTACCAGGCCTATTGTCTACATTTGCACTAGAACCATTCCAAAAAAAAAATTCCACGCCCTAAAAACCTAAATCCTTAAATAAAACCATCCATTACTATATTTTAAGAAAAGTTTGCAAATTTTTTTCGCGCGACCTTTATAGCTTTGCTTAAAAAGCGCACCGTTTAGAAAACGCGTTGTCGGAAGTTTGTCGGATCAATTGTCTGACAAAAAAGTTGTCAATGAAAATTTGTCTGACAAATTGTCTGTCAACAAGGAGCACACTCTAATTGAAAGCTTTTATGCAGAAAAGAAATTTAAAAAAGGGCTGCTACGCAGGAGTACGCGATCATACTCTTTACCCGGTCTTCTATTCGAAGAAATACGGTAGTCAAAATTCAATAAAAAAGTTAAAATTCAAAGTTGATGGATAAACTACCGTAATCAGTCACTAGACGATATTCAGTTGTCCGTTTGGCGTAGCTTACTTGTCGGCTGTACTTAAAAATCCATTATTTAAGCTTTATCTTGAGTCAGTGCTCCTTTTTCTATTCATCCTTTTTTTTTTTTCACACGCAAGTGTTGAAGTAATTGTAAAAGTAATTGAAGTAATTGAAGTATTAGTGATAGTGCCAGGTTGTGCACCGTTTTTATTCGTACAATTTCTAAGCAACTCTCTCTGGCGCACAAGACTTAGCTTTGTGGTGAATTGCCACTGCTCTGCAGTTAGTCAAAACTTCAATACACAAGCTCAATAGATTCAAAGTTGATGGACAGCCACTAGACGATATTCATATTGGACGCTAGACGATATTGGCCATCTGGCGTAGCTTGTGTACTTAAAAACCCATTATTTAAGCTTTATCTTGAGTCAGTTGTGTGCTCCTTTTTCTATTCATCCTTTTTTTCACACACAAGTGTTGAAGTAATTGTGATAGTGCCAGGTTGCTCGAGTTTAAGCGAAGTTTGTGCCTTAATAAGGGAAAGTTTTGATAAAGATTTGATTCCTTTTCTCTACAGATTTGGTTCCTTTTTGGTATAGATTTGTTCCTTTTCTCTATTGTGCGTTTTCAAGACATCAACTAAGCCACACCCAGACACGGCCACACAAGAAATTCTAAAAATCAAAGTATAAATAGATTTCTGACCAAATAGTATAAAATGTTTATGCCTTTTTTTTTTCTGACTCCTCAACTTGTCATTAATTCTTTTCGCAATGGTAATTGGAAATTCAGTCTAGCAGAAGTGTGCTACCAAAACACAAATCGAATGGTAAACCTCATTTTGTGCTCTCTCACTGAAATCTTTGTTCAAAACACGGCTTGGACATCTTTGAGCACAAATTAGTAATCTTAGATTTGAGCCATATTAGTAATCTTTTCTGCTAAATATTTTCTTCATTTAAAGTTAATCAAATAAATAAATAAGATGAGCAATTCCTTTTTTTTAATAAATCTATTTGATTAAATCTATTTAATCAAATCTATTTAACCAATTTTCAATATTAATCATTTCATTTCAAATTTCTAAAACAAAATAAAAGAATGAACTGATATTTGGTGCTTGAGGTTGATTCGGGGAAACCTTTCAACTTTTCGAAACCCTACAACACCCCAGATATGAGGATTTTCCCTAGGAATCAGTTCTAGAAATTCTAGAAATTCTAGAAAGTTTTATGATCAAATAACAAACCCTGGATTGTCTAATATTCTCTGTCTAATAAGTATTGTTCTTAGTATTACTGTAAGAAAGTACTGAAACTCTAATCAACTCCATTCTCTAATCAAAATGGAAATCCTCTTCGTGCGCCGAGAAAGCGGTGAACATTTCACGACGACGAGCACTCCAGAGACAGGTAAATTGGGGTTTAGAAAGAAATCCTTCTAGATTCTAGAAATCCTCCAATTTTGATACTATTTATCAACTCTGATATTCAATCATTTTAAATTTATTCATTGAACAATTAAAGTTCAAAATTCTGATTTAATTCTTGATTTTAACTTGAAATTAACTAAGCCAAGTTCATCTCAAACTTTCTGTTCAGTTGGTTTCTTCTAGAAAGCTTCGCTCGTTCTTTTCATGTCTTTTTACTCGCTCGAAATCAAAGGCGTCGTTGGCTCAGTGGCTAGAGCGTCGGCCTGGCATCTGACCGGGACAGAAGAGG